CCAGTTCGATGGTGGCCGGCAGGGGAGATTCCCACATGGCGCAGCAGACCTCTCCTGTCTCACCCACTGCTCCCCTCAGCAGTGTATTTCGTCAGTCTGCCTGTTCTGTTCCCCGCTATGTCTCTGGTGAATCCTCTCACACCCTCCCACACTTTTGGCCTGTGCCCCGGTTCTTGTATGCATAAATAAATCTCTAAAAAAAAAAAAAAAAAAAAAAAAAAAAAAAGACAGGATTTGAAATCCCTGAGATAAGTCTAATTTCCTCGCCTGGGCATTGGGGACACCTTTCTGCTGAGGCCTATGCAACCTCTGCTAAGTCTGCCCCCCAGCATAGTGCACCACCGCACCCCACTCCCTGAATGCCATCAACACATTTCCTACCTTCAGGCTTCTGCACAAGCAGTTCCCTCTGCCCGACCTGCCTTCCCCACCTCTATCCCACCTGGGCCCATCCTCTGGGCCCTGCTCAGGAGGTGCGCCCTGCCACAGGAGCCAGTCCAGATGCCCAGGCATTACTCACTGCCCCGTCAGCATCCTGTGGTGTCTCTGTCTGGTGCTAACCAAATCCTATCTGGGTTAGAAAGAGCCGCAACTAAGTCTGTCTCCCTCAAAGCGTGATTTGAGTCATCCGTGACACTTTTCCGCCCAAAAGCAAAGCTCAGCTCAGCACGGGGCCAGGCCCAGAAGAGGTGTCTGGAAATGTTATTCAGAGGTTCTGGTCTCCACTGCACTCCCATCCCCACTGTCCTTGAAGTGAGGGATCTTAGGACAAGAGCCCTGAGGGGTGGGGAAGGGGAGATGTTAAGTAGAGTCAATCCCATCTACCCTGCTGGAACCCTGCTGTCTTCCACGCACCATACTGGGCACTCAGTTTCAAACAGGGATCAGTTGCTCGTGGCTCATCAGTAAATTATTTGTGTCTGTGGCCCAGTTCTGCCTGATTCCAAAGCCTTTGGCAAAAGCCAGAGGCACTAGGTGGTTGTAAACAGAGAGCAAGGTCACGAAGGGTCCCCAGAAGCTAGATAGCTCCTCTTGGGCAGGGCCCCCAGCTGTGCTGGCAGCTCACTGAGCTGTAGCAGAGGGCACATTAGAGAGCCAGACAATTAGGTCAGCAAGAAACTCCTGTGCAGGCAAAATAGCAGAAGGACGGGATGGTGCGGGACACCATATTCATAGCTTTCCAAGTCACCAGCTCCAAGCCTGAGAAGCCAACTATTGCCCAGAGTGCACTAGAAGCAGGTCACCTTTCTTAGAAGACTTTTGCCAGGCCCTTGACCTTTTACCTTTGCTTGGGCTGTTCCTAGATCAGGTACCCCTTCCTTCCCATATCCTACCAAGCCCCAGTGAAAATAGGACAGGCCTCAAAGCAAATTCTTGCCTTGTCATAGTCACTGAAGGACCTTAGTCGTGCCACCTTGCCTCAGTTTCCCCATCTGTTGCATGGGACTGCAGATCAAATGGGGCACAGCCCAGCCCCAGGTCTGATATACTAGAGGCTCTGTGCGTGGGTGCTGATGTTAGAGGGTGCTAACCACAAGGGAGGGTCTGTTGCATTCTTTGTCTTGTGCCTCCTCTCATGCTGTGAGGCAGGATAGCACAGCTGAGCCAGTGTCTGTCACCATACTACCCACAGCCGCCTCCCCAAGCTGTGCCTAGCCACACGGGCCTGCTGAGTCACACCAAGACCCTCCCTTCATCCTGTCAGCCACCACTGTCTTCCCCAAAACTCCATATCTCCGCATCACACAGGGGATGGCACAAGTTCATAGCTATTCCCACTTGAGCAAACTGAGGGCTGGGGTTTGCCCAAATTTATCCAAGGAGCAGGCTATAGAACTGGGACTAGACTTGGGTGTCCTGACTCTCAGCCCAGAACACCCAGAGCATGCCTCAGAGCAGCCATCCCAGGGAGCAGCTCACCCTCGGCTCACCGACCTCATCCCCAGACCTCAGCACCCAAGCCTCACCCTTCGGACCACCCGGTAACAATGCCCAGCATCGCATTAGCATTAGCTAAGTGCTGGTGGATTTTCTGGTTTTCCTCCTAAGTATTATCACGAAGGTCTCCTCCTCCTCATGCCCAGCTGTCCCGGACCCTGGCCTCTCAGCTTCTTCTTTTTCCAGAGCTCCACATTCCATACAACATGGAGTCTCACCGCCACCACCCTCTCCACACCTGCTGCAGCTTCCCACCGCCTCCGGGCCAGGGCCAAGCTCCCTCAGCCTCACTCTCCAGGCCCTCCACACTTCCCACAGCCCGTCTACCTCTCCAGCCTGCCCCCACACACACCCTGTGAGCACACCTCCTGCAGAAGCCTGGAGACACGGGCTCCCGCAGGACCCGCTCTCCTACCCACAAGCACGGCACTTCTCCGACACGTTGCCTCTGCCTGGAATGCTCTGTCCCCACCCCCCACGTGAGACCCGAAGGCACCCTCAGTGGGCCCTGGGGTGGGTCTTGAGGGGTCAGGCGTGTGTGTACAGTCTCCTTTCTCTTCGCACAGGGGCCAAAGACAGGGCGAAGTGCCCTCATTCCCAGGGGTGTCCAGGGACAGGCAGCGTCGGCACAGACAGCCTTCTGCTCCCCCACTAACCTCTCCCTGCAACTTCCTAGTCAGACTCCTCCTGCCCAACTGTCCCGTCTCACCCCCATACTGCACTTGTTGAAGACCCTCCCGTCCTCATGGCTGCCTCAGACACCATGGTTTTCCGCCCCATGTACACACTGGTTCAGGGCTGTGCCCAGGCAGAGCGGGCCTGGTGCCCTCCCACTCCCCTGTAGGAGCCCAGCCTCAGCCTCAAGAGGTAGACAGCAGAGCAGGCCCTGGAATTCTGGCTCCTTCCTCATCACTGCCACCCTTCATAGGAGGGATGTAGCCTCCCTTTCTGAGACCCAGGGAGAAGTGAGTTACCATCCTGACAGAATGGGTCATGGGTGAAGACTGACATGGGGACAGCACGCCATTTGGTAGGAGGAACAGGTGGGGTTTCAGTGTGTCTATAATCAGGCTGGACTCTAAACCTCCCCTAGACAACTGATGTCACCTCATCTGCTCCCACAGATGACAAGTGAGTATCACAACAGGTGGCCTGGAAAGGGTGGAAGGTGAGGTCAGGCCAAGAACAGTTCTAGATTCTCTCCAGTCTAGGGAGATCCAACCAGGCACAGGATCAGGACACTGTGCCTGGGGTGTCTGGGGTGTTCTTCCCACTCTCCGCATATCTCTTTGTCACTTTCTTCTCTCTCCAGCCTTTAGTCTCACTTCCTCCAGGAAGCTCTCCAGGACTTCGACGCAGGACCTCACCATCTGAAGCAGGACTGACACAGTTTCATTTCTCCCACTCAGACTGGAGCTGCTGGGCCCCTACTTTCACCCCCTCCCCACAGCTCAGCCAGCATCTCCCTGCAAACCAGCTCCATCTTGTTCTCTGTTATACATCAGCTTGGGAAGCGCTAAGCCTCAAAAGGCGTTTAATGAAAGTCATCTGCTGCTGGGCCTCCCTGGTGGCGCAAGGGGTTAAGCACCACACTATGAAGCAATCCGCAGCTTCTGAAGCACAAGTTAGATCCCCAGCCGGCCAGGGAGCAACCCGCATGGCGCAGCAGACCTCTCCTCACTCGTCTGCAGCTCCCCTCAGCAGTGTACTTCGGTCAATCTGCCTGTTCGTTCCCCACTCTGTCTCTGGTGGGGACATCACCCCCCGCATCTTTGGCCTGTACCCCAGCTCTTGTATGCATAAATAAATAAATAAATCTTTAAAAAAAAAAAGTCATCTGCTGAAAGACGCTGGGGTAATGGCTGGTCGTTACAGGGATCACAGAAGACACAGAAGGAGCCAGAGTGACACCATAATTACTAGCTCAGGCTAGGGGATTGGGGGAGCTGGGAGGCAGGCCAGAGGCTGGGCTTGCTTACACCCCTGGATAGCCATGTTCCCCATGTCTCTCTGGGTCTCAGTCGCTTCCATTCTGTGGAAGGAGTACACCTGAGTCTAATCTGAGCATCTTTTCCCAACATTCTTAGTGACAGGGAAGCAAAACCATAAGCCATAAAAAGTGTGACTTTCTACACCATATATGTAGTTGAAAGATGAAAGTCTGAACTTTAGCTTTGACCTTTCCATGAGGAGTATTTTGATGGCTTTGAAATACCAAGTATTAAAATGCATCCAAAAAGGCATGCTTTGCTGATGTTCCAGCCACGTCTGGCCTGCTCTTGGGTGACCCCGTGGTGAATGCTGGTCCCCAGCCCCCTCCTGGCACCAGCTCAGTGCTCAGACACTGGTGTTCACCTGCTGGCCCTGGTCCTTCCTTCAGGAGATTCCAGGCCCCAGGAGCCTTGAAACTACACCTGTCTGATGCCCATCTCACTGTTTTGTTAAGAGTCTGACCAGGGCAGGCAGGGGACCCAGAGAAGCACGCCCAGATGGCTCGGCAGGAGCACCCCAACAGTCTCCTGGGACTCGCTGTGCTCAACTCGTCCCTGGATCAGTGGGCACCGAAGCAGGTTCATGGCTTGACTTGCCCCAAGTAGTTTCTCACGCCCCCCACATTCTCACACTGGCCTTAACATAGGGGACAGGAAGCCAGTCCCCCAAAGCCTTCACCCTCTACCACACAGACACACGCCCCCAGTCTCGTCAACACTTTTTCACCGGGTTTTCGCCCTCATCGGCTAAGGCCGTCTTTAATAGAAGGGTGCAGCAGGTGTGGGTGATCAACCTCTTCACCCTGAGAACAAACAGCCCAGACCTGAGGACCTGCCCAGGGTGGTGCCACAGGGAGAAGGCCCAGGTGGGGCAGGAAGGCTGGAGAAGAAACAGGGTGGCAACGCTCTGCAGGCGAGCCTGGGGATCTGACCCGTACCTCCAAGAATACTTCCCCAGGCCTTTCCCACTTTCTCTGACCTCTGGCCCTGACTGAGCCCATCAGAAAGACAAAAACAAAGCTGTGCCAAAGGAATAGCAGCCCCTCGGGGCAGTAGGCGAGGCTGACTTACTGGTCACGCAGAGCAGAGTGTGGAAGATCCACATCATCACTGGAGTAGAGGCAGTGGCGGGGGCCACAGCCAGTTCAGCTTCCCCTCAGCTCTAACGGCAGGCAGGAGGCGGGGACTGAGGCAGTCAGAAAAGGGCTTAGATACCCAGCCACTTCCAAGTAGTAAGACCGTCCCACTTGATACACAGCTGGCTGCCTGGCCTCCTCGGCAGGTATGGGCCAGGACTGGGAGCTTAGAAACAACCATCAGCCAGCTCCACTACCCTCACTTTGAAGGCATGGAGAGCCAGGCTTTGGGCTGGGAACATAGTTCTGGGTGTTGTGGGCAGATGTTTGAGGTGCAGGAGCAGCTTTAATCCAGCTGTTGTCTATCATCCCTGTGAGTCCCCCACCACTGCCCCAGAATCTGCCACCAATCATCTCAGTTCAGCGCCCAGCCCAGAATTGTTGGTGGGGTTGCCTTTGAGTGGGGTTCCCACTTTCAGAGTGCCCCCACTGCTAGAAATGGGGTTCCTGCACCTGGCTGTGCACTCAAGGGCCCAGGTGCACACCCCACACATTAACTGAAATCACGGCCTCAATTCAGCTTTGGCTTTGTCTCTTCAAAACCTGGCTACATTACCATGCTATCGGAGCCTATTTGATTGAGCTCCGACCTACCAGAAAAGCAAAAGTAAAATTCCATATATCCTTCAGGGCACCTTTGATGTAACCCAGTATCCAAGAGAATACATTGCTAAGTATGCAGTCACACTTACATACTAACTTCACCGTTGGTCAAATTTTCCATGTGACAAATTTTGTCTCAGAAGGCAGCCTCTCCTGCACCCCGCCCCAGGTTGTTGGAAGTCCAGCCGATCTCTGCGATGATGTTCTGGATCTGCACTGTCCAGCATGGTAGCCACCAGTCACATGTGGCTACTGAGCCCTTGAAATGCCACCAGTGCAACTGAGGAACTGAATTTGAAATTTTATTTAATTTTAATTTACAATGCAAAAACCAGCTTCTGTGTCTCGGGTGCATGTCTGCATCCCTAGGGAAAGCGCTTTGAAGCATTAATATGTGCTACTACATGGCAGACAATGGTGTTCTTAATGACTACATGAAAATCAAGTTTATTTTGTTTCTTACGTTGAAAGCTTGCTCGCTCAGTTTTATAATGATTTGATGACATTTAAAACATTTTTGCATTGTCTGTTTCGATCTGACAAAGTATCTATGGCTGGTATGATCACTCCCTGATTTACACAGTTGAGTAGAGATTACAATTCACCACTTGTACTTCAGCTGTACACCATCCAACAGAGAAAACAGCTCAAAGAGGCAAATTCCGGGTCTGATGATTGACTTGCCAGACCATGAAGACCATCCCAAATGGCTTTTAACCTGTCAGAGGCGGGACAGACGGCCTGTCTTCCCGTCGCTCCAGCATGTGAGCTCTCCTCCCCCGCACTTGTTCAGGTTCCAGGGGCAGCTGGCAGGGGCTCCTTTGCCCAACAAAGGCCCAGAGAGAGATGAGAATGACCCAAGGCTAGAGCCCAGGACTGCAGCTCAATCAAGATTTCTGAGAAGCGAGACTTCAGTTTGGAGTATGAACTTCCGGACGCCTCAGGAGGCCAAGCGAAGTTGACGACTGGGTGCTGGGCTGGGCGCAGGGTCACTTTCTGCATCTTGAAGGCTTCCAGAATGCTGACTCATCCCGCATCCATCTGAAATGTATTCATCCAAGCCCGTCGGTGCCAGCATGGCACACCCCGAATCATGCACATACAGGGGCCCTTCAAGCCCTTCTGACATAACTGCTTTCCTCACAAACCCAAGCATAAGGTGCCAAGGGCAGTCAGGCCGTGTTGTGTAGCGCTCCCATTCCCAGCATCAGCACAAGGCTGGGCATGCAGCAAGAGCATATGTATCCAAAGGAGTGTGAGAATGGCTTCCTAATGCATTCTACTTTGAACAAGTGTTAAGGAGCCCAGCTGAGGGGTTTCCCACAACATAACTAGACTGACTCTTCCAAAGGTGTCAAGGTAATAAAAGACAAAGAAAGGCTAAGGGATTGTTCCAGAGTAAGGGAAATTAAAGATAATTAAACGTGCTGTTGATCCTGGATTGGATCCTAGACCAGGAAATAAATTGCCTTAAAAAAATTATTGGAAAAAGAAATTTTATAACTATGTGATAACAGATGTTAGCCAGACTTACTGGGGTGATAAAGGCACAATATATACAAATGTCAGTTCATTATGTTGTATACCGGAAACTAGTATTATATGTCCATGATACCACAATAAAAATAGATAAATGAACACATTATTGGGACAGCTGACAAAACTGAATCAGGAACTACAGAGTAGAAAAAAAATCACACATTTCCTCAATTTGTTAATTACACTACGGTCATGTAAGAGAAGTTTCGTTGTTTTTGCTTTTTTAGCAAATCTATCTTTAGGAGGTAAAGGGATATAACTGGAATAGTTCGTGGTTCAGACTGAGGGGAAGAAGTGGGGAGGGAAGGGAGGAGGGACAGAATGAACAATAAAATGTTTTTTGTTCTACCCCTGAAACTGTTCTGTAATTTTGAAATTATTTCAAATGCAGTAAGTTTAAAAGGTCACATGACAGAGAAGACCTGTTCAGCAGGAGGTAAAAAGGATTGTCTTTACGAATCAAAAGCACCAACACATGCATTTGACAGACAGGTGGGCACCATTGCCACCACCCGCCTCACAGGCTCCACACACAGGTTTTTAATTACCCACTTGCCTTCGAGTCCCAGGAAGCTGGGAAGAGGGGGTTGGGAAAAAGGAATTTAGGAGAGAGAGGACAATTCTGCGACGAGAGAGGAGGACTGCAGTCGTGGGCAGAGCAGGGGGAGACCAAAGAGCAGTGGCATCACCACCACCAACTGAGCCTCAGGAGGGAGCACCAGACCCAGCGGCCTGCCATGCGAGCCCTCTTCTGATCCCCAGAGTCACCCTACCGGGTCACTCCAGTTTCACAGACTAAGAAAGTGAAGGCGTCTTCCCCAGGCCACGTGGCTAGTGATGCCAGAGTGAGAAACTGACACAGAAACAGGACTCTGAACACTATAAACCCTACTGTCTTCACATCGGTGGTCTGAATCCCTCCCAGTTTGACACCTTTTAAAGAGCAGAGACCTAATTTTACAAACATATCAGGATCCTTATTTACTGAATGGTATGGAAGGAACTGTGTCACTCCCCACCCCCCAAATTCACAGTGGAAGCTGTAGCCCCCAATGTGACTACATTTAGAGATAGGACTTTAAGAGATAATTAAGATCATAAAGGCTTTGGTGGCCTTAGAAGAGGAAGAGTACAATGTCTCCATGTGCCACACCAAGGAAAGGATTGTGTGCACAAGCAAGATGACTGTCTGCAAGCCAGGAAGAGCTCCCACCAGAACCCAACCACGCTGGCTCTCAGATCCTGGACTTCTACACTGCAGATTGTGAAAAAATACATTTCTGTTGTTTAAGCTGCACAGTCCATGGTATTTTGTTATAGCAACCTAAGGAGACTAATACTGGACTACCTCCTGAAAAATCTCCCAAATAAAACCGGTTTGTGTATGTGTGTGCGTGCGCTGGGGAGGGGAGTGCAGAGGGAGGGAGAAGACTTCTGTCCTTTCAGATCGGAGACACTGGGGGAGGGAGTGTTACACTAGGTCACAGGCACAAGTGCAAGGGCTCAGGCCTCTTGCTTGACCCCCCTCCTTCCTGTCCATCCTACACTACAGATGCTTCTTGAGAAAGTACAGTGAAGATCCTAGAACTCACAGCAGCAAGAGAAAGAAACCTGGAGTCATCCCAATTAAGCCCTTCATTTGACAGACAGGGAAACTGAGGTTCAGAGAGGTGAAAGGACTTGCTCGGTCCTCACAGTCGGTATGTGAGACAGAATGAGTCTACAGGGTTCCATCCCATCTGACTCTCCAAGACACTCTCCATGAGCGAAAGTGCTGCTTCCTGCTCACAAGCTCTCTGAGAAACCCCTACCCATGAGACGTGAGGATACATCAGTGTTAAACACGACAACCCTGGAAGGAATGGGAAGGCCTGCCTCCTCTCCTGCCAACGCTGTGGGCCTCTTGTCCTCACTAAAACACACTGATCCAGGCTGACAGTTAACTAAAGTGCCAGCTACTGAAGAATCTGTCATCTGAAGAGGGCCTCCAGAATGGGGGAATGACTTAGGTAGGTTAAATACCACCCATGCTCTAGAGTTTTATTTATAGCACAGCAAAATCCCACTTTAATGCCTCACAACCATTTGAAATAGGCTTTTGACTCAGCATTTCCTTAATTGCTCCGAGGAACATCCAAGTTCTGTGAAATGTTCACAGTTTCATTTAAAAATAAAAAGCTACAGTATTTTTCTTTTCTAAGATTTATTTTATAAACATGTAAGAAAAGTTGTAGATTACTGTTGGTCAGATGATGCAGTGACAATCTTCTCTGAAGCAAGTGTGCTATTCTCATGCTTATCAAAAACATTCTGTCCTTTTAATTCTGAAAAGAAAAAAATGGTTTAACTGCCTCATAGGCAGTTCTCATCTACTTGTTATATAAGGTTTAAAAGCAAATACTAATACATCAAGCTTATTTGTGCAGCAATTAATCTGTAAGTCATGATTTGCTGTTAACTTCAATCCAAATTGCCTGTTAGCATTTCACCAAAACTTTAAAATGCTCCATGCGAGAACTGGAATGCTGCTTTAAACAGAAGAGTTGCTGCTGGGAAGGTTTCTTTTCACCTTCTTTGGGCAGCCCTCACTTTCCTCACCAACAGGACAAGAGTCTAAGAAATGGCTCAGTCATCCTCATATCTACCTTCTGGCTTTCGTTCTTCTTTTCCCAGGGCAGGTGAATGCTTCCTAAAAAAAATATACTGGACTACCTACACGATACTTAAGCAAATTCTTCATAGCATGGGTAAGCCTTAGCTCAGACATAGGCAAATCATCACAATTTTAATTTCATGGAGGTCAAGTTGAGATTGTTTTTCTCTTATAAGCAGTTTGCACATTTCTGAATAATCTTCTGTTTGAATCTGATGGGCTGAGCTAGAGTTAGATTGGCCTGCAGACAAAGTTGTCAGAGCTGGGCTGGGTAACCACAATCCATTCATTTTCTGAACACCCTGTAGGCACTGCTTACTTGGAACTAGCCTGGTGGGAGGGTACAGAGATAACAGGAAGACACCTGCTCATTAGGAGCTCACAGGCTAGAAGGAAAATAAAATATGAAAATGAACTATTGGGAGCACAAAGCAGAAAAATGAGGACTGGCCTGAAAGAGAACCCTTGAGGCCTTGGAGAGGAGATGTTCTGTGGCCGGGGAGTTATACACTTGTCACACATTCATGGAGAAGCTGGCTGGTGCCAGGCACAGTCCTAGAACTGGGGAAGCCCCCGTGAACAAGCCAGACGTGGTCCCTGCTCTCAGAGCTTACAGTCTAGCAAGAAGACAAAGGAGAAACAGGGAATTACATCCAGGGTACAGGGCTGCTGGCACAGGGGTATGGATACAGAGATTTGGCATTATACACACATTTTACTGAGGCAAACATAACGGTATTTATCTGAAAGAAAATTTCTAAAAAAGACAAGGAAAAAGGAAAAGCCATTCCACCTGCACCTCCACTCACTGAGCAGACAGGCAGATGGCCCTGTGGTAAGCTTATGGCTCTGCTACTCCAGTGGCCTCAGCTCCCAAGGGTCTCTTCAAAGTTAGCTGCTTAACTGAGTGTTATTCCAACACTTAAAATAAGTGTTTTTTCACATTCCATGGCTCTAAAGGCAGTCCAACCACTTTACCTGGTACCCAACCAAAGAAATCATGATTGCAACCCACAAGGGTAGGAAACAACTAGGCTGGACTGCAGCATGCTGGTCTTCAACATGGCATCTTCCTCATGGTTTCCTAGAGGAATTCTGATTACACCCCAATTTTATGTTACTCTGGAGTAAGCTGACATTACTGTGAAACACATAGCAAGGTTGATAACCTGGCTCTGGAAGTCAGGAGTAACATCCTGGAGAAGTCTGAGTCCTTGAGGATGAGGTGAAACAGGCAAGGCTGAGGAGGGCTGGGGAGAGGACCAGGGAAGTGTGTCAGGAGTTGGGAGGAAGAGCACTGAGCACAGTCTAGAACAGTGGTGAGATCCAGACAGGTCCAGAGAACCAGTGGGCAGACAGCAAGGATGGGTAAACAGGCCAGAGATACTGCTAGACACGAGACCTTGATCAGCCTGTGAGCTATCAGAGTTCAGAATTTATTCCAAAGACAATAGTGAAGTTTGGGAGGGGTTTTAAACACAGGAATAAGAAAATTCTCCCTGAAGCACATGGAAAAATGCCCAACATCATTAGTCATCAGAGAAATGCAAATCAAAATCACAATGAGTTATCACACCAGAAATTAACAAATGTTAACGAGGATGTGGAAAAACTGGAACCCTCATAGATTGCTGGGGAGAATGAAAAATGATGCCGTCACCTGGGAACATAGTTTGGCAGAATTTCAAAAGGTTCAAGATAGAGTCACCTTTGACCAAGCAATGCCACTTCTAGGTAAATAGCCCAAGAGCAACAAAAACCCATGTCCACACAAAAACTGGTCCATGGATATTCAGGATAGTGTTTTTTTTTTTTAAAAAAAAAAAAAAAAAAAAAAAAAAAAAAATAACCCAAATGTCCACTAACAGGTAGATGGATAAAGTGTGTTTTATCCATATAAAGGAATATTATTCACTTGATTCAAAAAGAAATGAAGTATTGACACATGCCACAACATGGATGGCCCTCAAAGACATGCTGAATGAAAGAAGTCAGTCACAAACAGTCACAAAGTGTACGATTCCATTTATACAAAATGTTCAGAGATAGAAAGTAGTTAATGGTTGCCTGAGGGGGAGGGAGAGGCAGGGGAATAGGGAGTGACTGCTAATGGTCCAGGGTTTCTTCTTGGTGATGAAAATGTTCTAAAATTGACTATGGTGACGGTTGCACAACTCTATGAATAGACTAGAAGCCAATGAAAGGTACACTTTAAAGGGGTGATCAATATACTACATAAATTGTATCTCAATAAACAACAACAAAAGTTTATCCTGGTTGCCATGTGCAGAATGGAGGCGAGACAGGGAAGAGACCAGTAAGAAGGTTACTACAGGGATGGAGGAGAAGACATTGGTTGAACTTAGGGGAGGTTTCTCTGGGATCAGACTACAGAAGGCTAGGGGAGGAGAATTTACATCTTGTGGCAAGCTTCACAAGTTCTCCAGGGTAATTGCTACCTCTCCCAAGAGAGAGAGTGGGAAACAGAAATGAGGTATCTGTAATTATTATCAAGCAGCAAAAACGTATTTTAAAATTTCATGTTCCTCGTAAGAACACAGAAAAGTAGGTAGCCCTGCTGCCCACATGCACGAGGAAGGCCCAGGGGGAAAGCATAGCAGGCCATCTGCCGAGGACAAACCTGACTCTCCTTCCTCACCCCAAATGCTAAAGACAGGCCCATGGCACTCAGGGTACACCTAAGCAACTGCAAGATCTGAACATGTGAGTATAGGCTGGAGAGTGAGACAGGCTAAGACTAAAAACTTCAGGAAATATCTTTAAAGATACTTTTCTGGGTTCTGTGTGTTTTTGAGAATTGTGAAAAGGTCATTGAAGTGAGTATTTTTCGTGGTTATATATAAAGACCCAGGTTTAACTACCTACCACCACCATCCTTCCAGAAAGTCTTCCCTGATCTCTAGCCAGAGGCTGCTGAGAGTTACAAGACCATGGGACAGACGTGCCTGAACCGGTGGGAAAGGGTCACCACTGGGGAAGCCTGAGAAGGGGCATTTTCTGAACATAGCAGAGAGCATGTAAGTTGGGACCTTGGTCACAAAGACACGCTAGCAAACTCAGAGATTACAATGGGGTGGGCTAAGTACCCTCGGCTGTTTCTTTGATGCTTTCCCTACCCGCAACAGAAACTAGTGTCAGCAGCCCACCGCTGTCCTAGCTTTGGGGAGAGGAGAGTAATACTGAGAGGCACCAACAAAAAGCAGAGGCTCTGGTACCAACCCATACATTTGTTAAATAACTAAACTGAGGCCCAGGCTCAAGGAGCAGAGCAAGGGGTTGGCATTCAGGTGTCTGACTCTCAGGCCTGTGCACCTCTCACACTGCCAACTCCCCAAACCCAGACTCCCCCTCAAGAACCTGGCTCTCGGCTGTGTGTTTCAAAGGGCAAGAATAGCTGAGAAACCTTAGGTCTCGACTGGCAGAGCAAGCAGAATCATCTCATTCCTAGAATCCTATTAGGAAGTTGAAACACATCTTGGTTATGAGCTCTAATCTTTCCAAAGGGAAGGGAGGAAAGCTGGTTAACCAACGAAGTAGGGACAACGCCGTTCTCACTGCAGCTCTCAAGTCTCACTTTGCTAACAACAGCGTTCCATGTCCAGCCGCACCACAGTGCAAGCAGCCACGTGACCATCAGCTCAGCCACAGGTAAAGACCTCTGGAATCCAGGGCTGCACTGGATGCCGACACACTCCACACAGGAGTGAAGACATCACAAAAGGGACAAGGACTTACTATCTCTAGCTCCTAAGTTCTAGTGAATAGAAGTGAAACACTCATTTTAAGCCTGCAGAGGAATACAAACATGAACTACTTCAAAACAAAACTCAGATAAGAAGTCAGAGTAATCTACCGCCTTTTTGTGACAGCATAATCTGAAGTTAGACATTAATGAACTAAAATTTCTCTATTAAATGTTATTTGCCAGTTTTGAAGACGTCTTTACGTGCCAGAACTTGGAGACAGAAAGAATAGTATCAGTGTACCACTTCTAAAGTGATTCTTAATAAACAACAGGACCCCATCTCAGATGGATGGATTTTTTCCCCTTCAGTGGCCAAGAAGCAAGATGAACTCTGTACAATAGACAGACTATACAATTAGGATCATTTAAAAATAATGAGACTCCTCTCTTTGCCTTCTTCTAAAGTATATAATATATATTTAACAGCACGTTAAGAAGACACCACTTGAGCTTCCCTTGTAGCCAACAGGAAGTATTTTCACATATAAAAATTAAAAATTTAAACTTTGAAATCATTAATATTTTTTAAACATAATACAGACTTAAAAATTGTTCAACATTGACCCATGACCCCACCCCTAGCACAAAAAATCCACCCCAAATCCAGAAGTCACAGTTTTTTGTTCCTAAAAATCCCACAGCACTGAACTTGATCTTCACTTCAAGCTGATAGCTAACAAGAGGCCCCTAACAGAATCCCCGGGGAGGGATGGAAGCACGATCACGCTGAGTCTCTTATCTACCTGGGCGGCACTGGTGCACCTCTGAGGTCAGGTCCATGAGATTCGGCCCCCACACTAGGGTCCTGGAAGGGTGAGCTGGCAGCTTCCCTCATCTTCCCCCTCGAAGGCTGTCCAATAAGCACCTGGGAATTGACTTTTCTTGGGAAAAGGGTGCTGGTAACAGCTGTCAGGGCCAAGGCAATAGTGAGAAGTTCAGTTCTCTGCTCTTTGGATGAACTGTGTAAAACATTTCTTTTTTAAAAGACACGTTAAAAATATTAAGAAAAACCTCTACAAAATCTGGAGGGCTGCCTTTTCCTCAAAGGGTAAAGCTTGTGGGGTGATGGGAAAAGAATTGAGGGCCCAGAACTATAACTGCAGCAAAAGATAGATTGACAGATGCCCTTCAAAACACATCACATTCTTAAGATGTCTTGCTGAAGCAGCAAGAGCAGAGGGTGACTGTATGATAAAAGTGGGAGGGGCGCCAACTCCTGCAGGGGAGGCTCCTACTGTGCGCCCCACCCAGAGTAAGAATGTCTGGCTTTAGGGCAGCTGGTCAAGCCCAAAGGGCATCAAGACTCTGCCTCTGAACCAGAGCTGCTTTCCCGACTAACTTCAATCTGGAGAGATGGTAAGTTATCTAACCGGCTCTTCTTTTGACGAGACTGTTCTTTCTCCTTAATCAGAGCCCCCCACGCCCTTTGCAGCTCAGAGTCATCTTCCTCAGTGCCAGGCGCCCTGTGATCCATTTTCTTCACGTTCTTTTCTTTGGTCTTGGGTGCGGATCCTAAGCGAGTCCATAAACTACCTGTTTTGAGTGAGAAGGCATTTCAGTTGGGCAGTGAATGCTGAGAAAGAGGATAATACTGAGGAACAGGGGCACTGCCAGCACCCAATGGGCAGAAAACACTGGGGGGTCCAAAGCATTTGCAACTACTAGCAGCCAAGGGCAGGTGATCACATTTCCCTGGTTTCAGTCCCCTCTTGACAAACTGAGGGGTCTGGACCCAGGGACACATTAGAATCACCTGGGAGGCTGTTGATGGTACACCTGGCCCTCTGGTGACTCGCCATTCTGTGTACAACCTCACTCTGCCAGGGTGATGCCCACATCATTCCCAGCTCTAACATTTTACAAAGTGATGGGTCTACTACTCTCTAAACTTTCATAGATTCTGCCCATTATCCCTTAATTTTTTGTACATACTGTATTAATATCTAACAATAGAAAAATATACATTTCAAATTTCATCGTACAGTCACACTATAAAGTAATTAACAGTCTTATCTATAAACACTGTCATAGGATATGTAAAAAGGATGACAATAAAATGCTGTATGGAAAAATAAGAGATGTATATGGAAACTAGAATAGCATCCATGAAACTAAGACGTATTTGTGCTAAGCAAAAAGAACCAGGGGCGGGTTTTTCCTGTATTTTCCATACTGTTACCAAATTATTATTATGACAATGGTTAAAATGGAGAGGTAAACAGTGTAATTTGGCATGTGCTATTTCCTTCCTTCCACTAAGATAGTATTTCTATGCTACACCCATTGTCCTCTGCCTTATCTAATTCCCATCCCCAATCAGTTTTAACTGTCACCAACCTGATTTCTTCTCCCGAGTATCAGAGTAGAGGCCTTTAATGTCTTGCCTGGGAACACCGAGCCTACTATGCACATCAGAAAAGGGTTCTCTCCGCATAACTGGATTACCACCAAAAGACTTTTCTGGAGAATGTGGTCTCTTCCCCAACCGCTGGCGTATATCTAGAAAAAGAAAATGAAAAGCACTACTGTGACCAAGGATGATGTGTACTTCACTGTCCACACTGTCAACATGAGATCTTTTAAGGGCCTGGTGCCAAATCTCCCCAAGTGAGGACACAGGGCTTGACACAAACCAGATATCTAAAAGCCTTCTCTACACTACCCCTCAGTTCTTGATTCCTCTAGGAGAATTTGCACTTAAGGGCTCTCAGAGGGACAAACCTCAACTGACTGCTCCAGCAAGAAATTTCTGAGGCAGAATCAACTATTTTGGCTTTGGGAGGTTTTTTTGATATCACCAAACAGACTAAATAATTTACAAACATTTCTGTTAACAAATAATACTGTAAGCGCTGTGAGGGCAGAAGCCACAATCTTTGAGCATTTAAGAAGTTCTCCATAAACTTAGTATACTTCACAATAAACATAATAAAATTGATGAAAAGCAAAGAATCAAGGGAAGTATAGTCACACTATAAGGTAATTAAAAGTCTTATCTATAAAGACTGCCATAGGATATGTAAAAATGATGACAATAAAATGCTGTATGAAAAAATAAGAGATGTATATGGAAATGCACTACTAGGGTAGTGTAGAGAAGGCTTTTAGATATCTGGCCAGAGGTGTTGTCCCAAGGGCCTCCCCAGTGGCACAGAGGCTGAACCGCTGGGCTGCAAAGCTGCCCGCAGCCTCTGCAGCGCTGGTTCGATCCCCGGCCGCCAGCGAGGGTCCCACATGGCACGCAGACCTCTCCTGCAGCGCCTGCTGCTCCCCTCAGCAGTGTGTTTTGTCAGTCTGCCTGTTCTGCTCCCCACTCTGGCTCTGGAGAATTCTCTCAACCTCCCGCGCTTCTGACTGTACCCAGTGCTTGTATAAATAAATGAATAAATCTTAAAAAAAAAAAGAGAGAGAAGTTATCCCAAACAAAATGTGTTTTTCTTCCAATCCCCCCAGAAATCTGCCTACCCTCTTGAGTTCCCGCTGAAGACAATAGCGACAACAAAAACATGTTTATTAGTAAGTCAGGTGCTGGGGCTTTCCCCATCCTGCTTGTTGTCTCAAAGAGCAGCATCCCTATCTGTACCATCCCCTCAGGCCTGGACCCCTTAGCTTTTCTCCTTTTCCTCCCTCTCTTCCCAGCACAAGTCTTCTTCTTTGGCAAGGTCTGACATTCTTGTCCCTTCTATCACCACAGTCCCTGACTCCTTATTTAATTAACTCTACCCCACCCTATCTTGCCTCCAAGTTATCTTTATGAAATAGAACAAGATATATAAGCTACCTAATTCAAATTCTTTTTTTTAAGTTGATTTTTAACATTTATTTATTTATTCATTTAAGAACCGGGGTACAGGCCAGAGGTACAGGGTGTGAGAGGATTCACCAGAGACAGAGTGGGGCGCACAACAGGCAGGCAGACTGACTGAAATACACTGCTGAGGGGAGCAGCAGGCAAGACAGGAGAGGACTGCTGAGCCATGTGGGTATCTTCCCCGCTGGGATGGAATCCGCACTGCAGAGGCTGTGGACAGCTTCACAGCACTGCACTCAACCGCCTGTGCCACCAGAGAGGCCCTAATTCAAATTCTTAACCATTTATACAATAACCCAAATTAATCAGTTTGGATTTCCTATTATCCTTACATATAAAGTATAACAAAAACATTCAGGGTAAAAGAACTGTCTGGGACAAAAATATTAAAAGTAAATATTATGAAAGTCTGATTAATTTTTATGTCCTAAAGTTTCAATGCCTAACCCAAAATTTGTAAGTGATGAACCAGAAAAACTACATTAGTCCACAGATGGCAACAATTTACACAAGAATTTATCCCTGTCCCACTTTGCTTTCTGGAGCTCAGAATGAACCCAGAAACACAACTGAATGATAATACCTGATTTAGTACTGCTGCCTGCTGGTCGTGGACGTGTATGCTGACGCTTCTCATCTAACAGATGTCGGACATCTGCAAATTTCTCAGGTGGTAATTTGTTACCAATTCGGTTTTTGATATTACTTGCGGATACAGTATCTGCTCTCATGGAGTTCCTTTACAAACAAACAAACAAAAAAAAAACAGGCACTGTTAACCAACTTCTACTGTGGAAGACACTCATGCAACTGTCTCATGGGCTTTGGAGAAAACAATGTAAGAAGAAACCCGGGCCTCCCCTGGTGGCGCAATGGTTGAGCGCTGGGCTGTGAGGCTGCCCGCAGCCTCTGCAGCGCCGGTTTGATCCCAGGCCGCAGGCAAGGGTCCCACATGGTGCGCAGACCTCTCCTGCCGCCCGCTGCTCCCCTCAGCAGTGTATTTTGTCAGTCTGACTGCTCTGTTCCCAGCTCTGGTTCTGGTGAATTCTCTCACCCTCCCACACTTCTGACTGTACCTGGTGCTTGTATAAATAAATAATTCATTAAAAAAAAAAAAAAAGGAAGAAGAAACCCAATCTAATATGGCCAACATCCACTCTCCAATGCCATACATAGAAAACTATTTACAGCCTGCTTGCTGTAAAATGACTGTTGGAGAGAGAGAGCACGGTCCCACACATGGTATCTGTAAGCTATCACAGAGCACATAACTTCAAGTCTCCTTCTCTTGAGACAAACATTGAGAGGCCTGCAAAGGGCTTGAGGCTCTCTGCTCACCCAGGCTGTGATCTGGCTATAGTCAAGACCCCAGAGTCTACACTCCTCTCTAGTAAAGGGCACACTGCTTTGAAAAAACAGATGGGCTACCGTGCGAAGCACCAGCATTATTCTGACAGCATTTGCCTTCAGTAAGTTCTCCAAAAACTAAATATAAATATGTGCACAAAACCACAGAAACAAGCCAGTCTGACTTTTTCTCCTCACACACCACCAAGAACGTTTAGGGAAAACATCTCTGGACTCCAGCTCTTTGAGTTGTGCATATGCTATCTGCTCTCAGAAATCTGTTCATCCCCACTGGTAGTCAAACAAGGGTATATTAAATATAACTTTTTTTGGCCCATGAAATTTGAAAAACTTAGAATGATAATATGAAAGGTTGGTGAAGCAATAGGCAGTAATGAGTAAAACCTTTAAGGAAGTAAATGTACCCATACCACATTTTAAAACATGTGCATTGCTTTGTACAACAACTGGACTTGGAGGAATTTATTTACTTAGTCCAACAGTAAGAAAATAAAAACCTAAATGTCCACCAAATAATGGACTGGTTAACTAAATGATGGTACTTTCAACAATGGAAAATGAGAGGTGTGTGTACAGTATACATGTTGGAAAATGGGAGGTGTGTGTATAGTGTAATAAATGGAAAAAGCAAATTGCAAAAATATTATAAAAAGCATCACTTCATTTTTATACAAGTATACCTGTAATTCCTCCACATCTTATGTATACGCATAAAACTAGCTGGGAGATTATTCACCCAATTGCTAACCATTGCTATCTTAGGAGATAATAAGATTATAGGTCATCTTCACTTTTTATGTAATCTGTAATTTTTCTTTTTTTTTTTTTTTAGAGGCATGTTTTTTATTTATTTGTTTTGTTTGTTTATACAAGCACTGGGTACAGTCAGAAGCGCTGGAGGGTGAGAGAATTCACCAGAGCCAGAGCGGGGAGCAAAGCAGGCAGAAGGACCGAAGTACACTGCTGAGGGGAGCAGCGGGCGGCAGGAGAGGTCTGCGCACCATGTGGGACCCTCCTCTGGTGGCCGGGGAGCAGCCGGGGATCGAACCAGCGCTGCAGAGGCTGCGGGCAGCTTCTCAACCCAGCGCTCAACCGCTGCGCCACCGGGGAGGCCCGTTATCTGTAATTTTTCTAACAGACTAATTCTTGTATACTGAGAGGGAAAAAACAGATGCTTTTATTCAAATTTTATAAAGGACGAAAATTAGGACAAGTGATGATAAAATTAGAGGAAGTTGTAATGAGTCTAAAATTAAAATTAAAAGCTAGCATGACAAAAAAGAAAACAGATTTACCTAATATTTTTCAACTGAGATTCCACTTCATCAGCATACATAGTCATTTTCATGCTCTTCTTTGGTGAAGGAGTGGAAATCATTTTCAGTTCTAGATCATAGTCCATTTCGTCGGAGTCTGAGCTGCTGGCACTGGGCCGCCTAGAAGCACTCCGTTCCCGGGTCTGCTTGAGCGTGGGGAGCTCCTCATGGTACTCGACCACCACCCTGTCATCTGCATCCATGTCCTGGTCCTCTTCCTCCTCTTCTTCCTCCTCTTCCTCCTCTTCAATGGGTTCCTCGGGAACATTCACTAGTCCTAAGGAATTTAACCAAAAAAAAAAAAAAAAAATTAGGAAAAGCACTAAAAATTACAAGTTCAATTTTCTATTCTAAGTCAGTGACCTTCTTAAAAGGTGGGGTTCCCATGGCTGAGATCTTATTGGAGTGCCAATCAGTTGCCATTCTGATACCAACAATAGGAAAACAGACAGGTAAAGTATGCTCTAACATACAAAACATTTAAAGTTACCTAAAATACAGTCAATCATCATTACTCACAAATTATCTGCAAATCTGCCAAATGTATTGGCAAGTCCAAAACCAATGCCTGCAGAACTTTCAGGGTCATTTGTGGATATGTGCCGAGTAAAAAAAAATCTGAGTCAACAGACATGTACGTTCTCAGCTGGTCCAACAAAGCAACAGTCTGCCTTCTTGTCCTCTCTCTCATACTATCCACAAGTGTCATAACTACGGTCTACTGAGTACCACGTTTTCCACATTTCTGGGATTTTTTTTTTTTTTTTGGGTGATTTCACTGTTTAAAATGGCTCCAAGAGTAGTGCCAAAGCTGTTCCAGTGTTACTAAGCACAAGGAGGTTGTAAAATGTACTGTGCAGAGAATACCTGCTAGACAAGCCTTGTTCAGGCATGAGTGACAGTGCTGCTGGCCCTGAGTCCAATGTTAATGAATCAACAGTATGTATTAAAAGGTGTCTTTAATCAGAAACACACATCAGACAAGTTTATGTATTGATCAATTAAAGAAATGGCACTGAGAGAGCTCTGAGAGGTTTAGTAATGCTACTTCAAAAAATCATGGTGACTTTATAGAATATAATACCACAAATAATGAAAATCAACTGTAACTTTTAAGTTCATAAAAAATGTTTATGCTAAGTGGGAGAAGCAGAATAGAAGGTATATATGTATCCTCAACAGTATATTTGTTATAAAGACAAGAAAAGTAAAATGAAATCAGTTATATTAGAAAGCTAGAATTAGGAGTAATTTGCATTTTATAGCTTTAATATAAAGATTATATGAATAAAAAGATTATAAGAAAATATATTAAAGTAACTGATATTGGAAAAGTATAACTAACAGAGAAATATGTGCATTATTGAGATACAGATTTCAAATAAACAACTTTAGATATATACATTAAATAAAAATGCAGAGGCTTCACCTCTCCCTGATACAATGAAAAATGTGTATGCATGTTATCCCATGTTCATATGCTGACTTGGCTCGCTCTGCAAAGCATACAGATTTCAGATTAAGTTCAAAATAAAAACAAATCTTTATCAACATAATGAAAATGGTTCTTTAAAATAAGCATGAAAAGGAAAAAAAGGGAGAGAGTAAAAGAGGGAGGGGAGCCAAATGAAACCCAAGTCATGAATACCCCACTTTTCTCAAGTATTCATATGCATGAGCCAATGAGTGCAGAACACTGGACACAACGATCTAGTTACATTATCAGATAAAGGAAAAATTCAACCAGCTCATCGGATAAAAAACTCTTGAAAAATTTTTCAAACAGTTTTTGATATTAATAGAAAAATTAGAGTCCTATGAAAAGTTTTATTTTAACTTTCCCTTTTTCACATTTGGTCTTTTCTGTTAGAACAGCTTTTATATAATCATTTGACCTCTTTGTATGGGCAACTTAAAATTAACTGTGACTTGACTTACTTTCCTATATGTTGGCAGAGGGTGAGGGCAAGGAAGAGAGGATGATAAAGTTTGGAACCTTAAAAGACTGTATTAAGAATAAAAATATGATTTCGGGAGCCAAACATGTGTCTACCCAAGAGCTGAGCAGGCAACTACCGGAATGTCGGTGTTTATAGGACGTCAAGCCAACATCATCCCCAATCAGGGCTCTCTTCTTGATCACATCCCGCTGAATGCGACGGGAATGATATCTTCGCTTCCTGCAACATTGTCAAAACAAGCAGATGATAAAAAACCAATAGTAAGGACCCTGAAATCCACTAATTAATTTCAAGTACACACTGATACAATGTTGGAACAGATACATTCTAAATAAAACTGAAATTCAGCATTCTCACAGTTTACCACCATTAAGAATCTTGACTTCTGCCTTCTTGCTTTCCTTTGAGTTTATACATGGTGTTGACATTCCACTGCAGAATATCAACTTAATGATTAAGAAAAGCTTAGGTACTATACAAATTATTTTTAAATTTTAAGGTTTTGAACTCACCAAGAATTACTAAGAATTCCTTTCATGCCTCCATAATTTGGATTCCCATATTTCATGTAATACTGACTTCTTCTGGCTGCTCCAAGTTCCTTTTTGTCATCTAAAAAGTAATTATAAAAGTTACCAAGATTTCCTGTGAGTGTAAAGACAATGTTGAATGGTTAGAAAAAAAAAAAAAAAAGATTAAAAAAAAAAAGGATGTTTTCCAAAGTTGGACCAGCACAATCTGCCAACAAAAATGAAAGATACAGTGTCAAGGGTTGGAGCAAAGTATAGAACTGAATGAGGCAAAACTGCTCTTAAGAGGATGACTGACTTCAGAGTAAATACTACAAAAAATAAACAACAATATAAGATACAAAGCTTTACAAAGCATGAAAGCTTCAGTCATTACAGGTGGACAAGAATCAGAAGATTTCTAGGAGAGATGGCATTTCACTGTCTCCTGAGAGATGATATTCATTTCTGAATGATGATATTCTAGTACCACAGAAGCAGTTAAAGAAACAGACTATCACAATTCCATATATTTGGTAAACTATTTTTTCTAATTTATCATGATGTTCCTTAAAGTGGCTTAAAGAAAACAGCTGTAGGGCCTCCCCGGTGGCGCAGTGGTTGAGCGCTGGGTGGCGAAGATGCCTGCGGCCTCTGCGGCGCCGGTTTGATCCCCGGCTGCTCCCCAGCCACCGGAGGAGGGTCCCACATGGCATGCAGACCTCTCCTGCCGCCCGCTGCTCCCCTCAGCAGTGTACCTCGGTCCTTCTGCCTGCTCTGCTCCCTGCTCTGGCTCTGGTGAATTCTCTCACCCTCCCGTGCTTCTGACTGTACCCAGTGCATGTATAAACAAAACAAACAAATAAATAAAATAAATAAAACATGCCTCTATTAAAAAAAAAAAAAAAAAGAAAACAGCTGTAGTACCATACATGTAGAATGCACTGAAACAGCCACACTCAATGAATAAATGAAAAAAATATTCCATTTGCCAAGTTAAAATGCCCAATTAATGGGAGAAAGATGGCCAGTGATCACACATATTTTCATAATTTAAAGGCCTTTCACAGTTCCTTGGTAACCTGCTGACTACAATGGACAAAACCGCTGTGAATATATCCAGTACCACAGGTGAACTTAGCGGCACAAACCGATATAAAAAAACATGCCCACCAGTTCCTTGAAGAAATGGCTGATTCCAGATTGGAGGCAGGGAAAGTACAAGTTGAATCTGGAAAAACCAGATGTTTTATTGTACCATGAAATAGTAAAGTGCTCAAAGAATGTAAACACAGTAAAACAAAGAATGTAAAAACACACCTTGATGGGACTCTACTAACTAAATCCAAGACAATTTGTGAATTAAACAATGACAATAAAGGAAAAGAACCCAATGAATAAAACAAGTCTCTGTGAGTCTAATCTGATATACATAAGTAGGTTAAAAAAATGGAAAAAAGAAAAAGCAGACTGCCAACAAATGAAAAAGTGGAATTTAAAAAATCACCAATGAATGTTTAAACTATTGTTTAAGGTTTGATGATCAATTGGCTATTTACATAATCTCAGAGTATCTTATCATAAACTTTTTATAATAGAAAAATAGTTACTTCACAGTGGAGAAACCTGGTAATCATTACCCTAACTAAGTGATAAAAGTAAACATTTCTGGGAATGGGACAAATATCACGATTCCTGATCTAATGCAATGAAAACGACACACATTACTCTACAGTATTTTTGCCTAAGATGCACAACCCAAATTTAATCTGGAGGAGACAAACACAAACTGAGAGTCTACAAATTAGTGTGTTACAGTCTTTAAAAATGTCTCAGCCAAGTAAAACAAAATAGAGGAGTTGTTTCAGATTCAGGGAGACTTAGCAGTCGAAGCATTCTTAAACACTCAGCCCTGGAGCAAATCCTAGATTAGCGGGGGAGTAGTATAAAGTATAATCAAATTTATTTGACAATTATCATCATCATTATCAAGATCTAACACTTACACAGCATTCACTGTATGCCAGGCAGTTTTAATATAGCCAAAGAAATTATTGGAAAAACTGATAAAATCTGAATATGGACTATAGATGAGGCAATGGTATTAAGTTAATGTTATTATTTCCTGATTTTGATAACTATGCTGTATGTGAGTCAAAGTTCTTCAGAAATACATATTGAAGGATTCAGGGGAGAAGAGTTACCATCTTCAATTAATTTTCAAATGATTCAAAAAAATATATATAATTTGATGAACACAAAATTCAATGTGCATAAAAAGCCTTACAAATTGGAGGCTTTTAATTTTATTCCTTAGAGAATAAAAGCTAATGACATTATCAGCAATGTCTAGAAGGATATTTCTGTGGTAAATAAAAAAATAAAATTTTATAAAGTTTTCACAGTTCACACAATAAAATGGCTAGAAAGCACGAGTCAAACTGCCATTAACAGAAAACAACTCTAGGCAGAAATCAAAAAAGTATGCCAGGGCCTCCCCTGGTGGTGCAGCGGTTGAGCACTAGGCTGCGAGGCTGCCCGCAGCCTTTGCAGTGCTGGTTCGTTCCCCAGCCGCCAGCAAGGGTCCCACAAAAAAAAAGAAAAAAAAAAAAAAAAGTATGCCAATAGCTAATATTCACTTTCAAAGTAAAAACTCCAACTCAGGTAGCTAGCACAGATAATAGCTTGAAGGGACTTTGAAATTACTTGATCTAACTCCCAATTCATAAGAGCAGGGATGTCATTCAATAATACATCATTTTGATTAAAAATAATAACTCAATGCCAAATGCACCTCTATCAAATTTACCTTTTGTAGCAAATCTCATGAATAACCTATTTCCTTTAGCAAGTTTGTTAGCAGGACGAAGATCGTTCCTTAGGAGAGATTCTTCTTCTACCTGAGACAATGTGTCCAACTAAGAAAAGAGAGCATTTTCAATATAAAAAATATAGCTCTTTTTAAATATTTATTCAGCAAAGTTACCATTAATTAAAAAAGCATTCTACCTTTAATAACACTCATCAGTATCACAGAGCTAGTTTCTCTGTTGATTTCTAAGTCAGAGGTCTTCCCTCACCGCCTTGTCTAAAAGAATAGTCTCCACATTCTCTATCTGCTTACCCTTCTTTTTCTTCACAGCACTCATCACTTCCTGACATTATATTACATATCTGCGTATCTGTGTATTGTCTCTCTTCCCCACTAGAATGTAGGCTCCAAGAGGGCAAGGACTTTGTTTTGCTTGATGCTATATCCCCAGCACCTAGAATTTGGTATATAGTAGGCACTCAGTAAATATTTTTTAAATGAATACATTTAATATTTCCAACAATAGTACATAATCCATTAGGAAATATGTCATGATATGCTTTTTCTTCATTTTACTGATTAGACAACACTTCAAACCATTTAAACCATTTTGGTTTAACTTCAAACCAGTTAAACCATTTTCTTTAAGACAGAAGTGTGAGTACTAGTCTAAGATCTTAAGAAGAAGCACTCATTACAGTCACAAAGACCAAAAGCCCGGTGCACATTCAGAACGTCTAGTTGTGAAGCCAGAGGAAGAACACAACCTACCAAGCCTTTAATTCTTAACTGAAAAAACAAAATGAGCAAGTTTTGTTTTGTTTTTATAGTAAAACCACACATATTTTTGCCCTATTACTAACCTCTACATCACTTGCATTCTCATCTTCAACTTCTCCTTCTTCAGCCTCATCATCATCTGAACTGTCTTCCTGCTTGTCTAAAATGGAACACGAGGGACAAGATGAACCTTAACATAACTCCATTTCAGATAATTTAAAAATCCTACATTTTCTCCTCCTATTCACCTACCATCCAAAACATCATAGCTTATTTCAGAAATAACTGGCACAGATGTTATATAATGCTCTATACTCAAACCAAAAAGTCCCTCCTTCGTGTTCAGTTACCTTTTTTACTTTTCTCAGATGACTTGTCCTCAGTGGCATCCCTGCTTCTTATCTTATCCAGGGCTGGCAGAGAGCTCATATTGATGAGGGCTCGTGTGGCTGTCATTTCATCCAGCCAAACCACATTACCTAAAATGAAAAATAAATGTTACATTGTACCCAAATAGCAAGTTTCTTAAGAGCATAATACTAATTGCTACAGCCTTATTAGCTATAGACTGGCATCAGGAAACGTACGAAGCGACTAATGAAAGGAAATACAAAAAGTGGTAATAAAATCTTATTGATGAAATTAGCCTAGAAATGCATTCCCAAACAGGTTCCATAAAATAATGGTCAAGTATTCCAGAGTTCTGTATGCTAAAACTGTCTTGTACACAGTGGTGCTTTGTAAGCCTTCATAGTTCATGATAATGATAATGGTTTAGATTATTCTTTAGACTATTGCCCTCTACAGGAAAGTCTTCTGCTGTTCCTCTTCATTCAGACATGTTAAAGATGCTAAAGTGTGGGTGATGATGGTATCCATCAAGGGAGGCAGAACAATCACTAAGTAGTAGCAACTAATTTAATTTGCTTCTTTAAGGAAGAAAATTTAACAAGAAAAAGGTTTTGAGACATTTTGTTTATGTTTAAAATAGGATTTCTCAAACTCTGCTACCCCTATAGCTCAGTTTGGGAAACGAAATTCTAAAGATTCTTACTTTTGTTACTAACATATCACATGGCCTTGGGCAAATAATCTCTTTTCTCTGTTTCTCAGTTTCTAATGGACATTATGAGGTAGTTGAACTGGATAAATTCTAAAGGTTCCTCTGACTCTAATTAGTCCTTGCTACAGTTTTAATGACTTAAATCAGGGATCAGAAAACTATAATCTTCAGGCAAATCCCAGACCACTACCTGTTATTTGTTTCTGTTTACACCAGCTTTATTTAGGTGTAGTTAATGTACATAAATTACAAATGCACCACCTATTTTTGTAAACAAACTTCTATAGAAAACAGCCAGGCTCATTCCATTACATACTGTCTGTGGATGCTTTCAAGTTACAATGGCAAAGTTGAGGGGATGCGACAGACTTAATGGCCTGCAAAGCCTAAAAAATAGTATCTACTACTCAGTCCTTTATAGAAAAAGATTTGCCAACCCCAAGTTGAACAGTATAAATTAAGCAAAAAGAAAAAAGGAGAAATATCTTTTAGCAGTCATGTTTCTTCTTTCAATGAAAACACCAAACAAGCATCTTCTAAGGAAAGCATCAGGAAAACCAGATTGCTGGTTGGTTGCCTGGTAGGTTGGTAAGCAGTCTGTAAGTAAAGCTAGACAAGAAGTGAGTTAAGACAAGACAGCAGAATGGTTACCAGAGGTCAGACCAAACTTGAAATGAAGAGGCAAGTTAAAAATTAGTTAGTTCTCAAGTTGGACAGCTCACAGTTTAGAGCAAGCAGAAGATGCAAAAAAAGTCCAAAGCAAGTAGAGGTAAGTGGTCTGGTATGGTCCAGTTCTAGGACAGAGACACTGAAGCAGAGCTAGCTCTCCCTACAGCTATATATAGCAAGTTGCAATGACAAAGTCTAAACCCTGAAAACACAGCCCCAAGTCTACACAAGGCCTACCCCCTTGTTGGAAAATTATTAGAGACCTCAATCATGGACACTGACTCAGATGCTAACAATGAATCCTATAGTCCTGGTCACCACCTCTGAGCTGACTCTGGATATTCTTGGGATCTGATCTGCAGACTAGTTAAGACATTCTGATTCTCATCAATGGGCAAGATTTCTCTCCAAGGCTAAAAAGGTAGACAAGTAGTGTAGTCTAAAACATAATCATTTACCACCTGAGGTGGCAAAAATACTTTTGAAATCTTAAACAAAATCATATTCAACAGAAATGGGTATACTTACAAGAGGTATCATCCAACCATTCAATGTGAGCTGGAGGATATTCTTTAAAATAGGAAAAGATATCCTGTGTACTCATCTCATCCACTCCACATATATAGATTGTCTCTAGTCTCACTTTGGGGATTGCTAGGAAAAAAAGACACAGAAAAAATGACTGAATTTTCTCACCTGCTACTTACCGCACATCCCATCAGCACCCATTTGTGCTAGTTCAGAAAATATGTCTTTAGAAGAGAAACATACCAAAAAAGATGACAATTATTTCAAAAGAAAATGAGACATGATAGCAAGATAAACTATTTCAATTTTTATCACAGAACAAAAGCATTAAAAACAAATGATTTCATTCAGAACTGGCATATTAGATTGAGAAAGATTAAGTAGTGTTGATAAATACGTGACACCTCTCCCCAAATTAACCTGTAACAATTTAAGCTATACCAAATTTAACAGGATTATTCATTAAACTTGACAAGCTGATTCCAAAGTTCTTAAATGTATGTCAAAGAGAAATGTGCAACAGTCAAAACAAGTCAAAAAAAAGAAGCTATGTTGCCCCTGGATATAAAGCAAAGTATGACATTACAGGGAATCATACACATCAATAAGAAAATGACAGTCCAAAACAAAAATAGGCAAAGGACAGGAACAGGCAATGCACGCGAAAGGTCAATAAACATGAAAGATAATGGACCTCACTACCAAGCAGGAAGTGCATATTCAAACTAATTTTCACTGACCGGATTTTTTTAAAATTTTATTTCTTAGTAACAATTGTTAGCATTGCGTAGAGGAAGAGTCACCCTCCCTGCTGGTGAGATGTGGACTGGCATGGCCACTCTTAATGGTAAACTGGGAGTGTCTATTACAAATGTCACTGAGCATAATAAGCCCTGGAGGTTTAGAACTAGTCCTCACTATACTAAACACATACCCCTGGGTGACAGACTAGCCCACACAAAGATGACTTTTTGTAGCACTGTTTCCAGCAATCTTACAGCTATCAGAATAATTAACAATGATTTGGTCATATAGTATATTATGTAGTTAAAAACAATGAGATCATGTATTCCTATAAAATTATATACCATGAAAGATTCTAAGACACATCACTGTGTGAAAAAGGAAGTTGCAAAAAATTACATCTAATAGTAAAAAAAGTAAAAACACAAATCCCACCATACATATTTCTAAGGCTACAAGTCTGTCTACAAAAACACTTAGAAAAAGGCCTGGTATGAGTCACCCCACGTTTTAACAGTTATTACCCCCAGGGAGGGAAAAAACTGTAGTCAAAAAAGAATCTCAGTCTTACCAGGAGTATATTCATTTTTTACTAAGTACTTTATATTATCTTATTTCATCTTTTAAATTGCGAAATATACAAATATAGCAGCAAGAAAAAAATCATGTTAAAATACCTGTATATTTACCACCTAACTTTATATATTTAATTTCTTTTAAAAATCTGAGAAAAGGGCCTCCCCTGGTGGCTCAGCGGTTGAGCGCTGGGCTGCGAAGCTGCCCGCAGCCTCTGCAGTGCCGGTTCGATCCCCGGCCACCAGCGAGGGTCCAACATGGCGCGACAGACCTCTCCTGCCATGCCCGCTGCTCCCCTCAGCAGTGTATTTCGTCAGTCTGCCTGTTCTGTTCCCCGCTCTGGCTCTGGTGAATTCTCTCACCCTCCCGCACTTCTGACTGTACCCAATGCTTGCATAAATAAATAAATAAATAAATAAATAAATAAATAAATAAATCTTTTAAAAAAATGAGAAAAAATAAAACATTACATATAAAACTAGGGCCTGTGTAATCTCATCCCTTCCATTCCCTCCCTTCTCAGAAGTAATTCTGTCAAGAATTCAATGTCCATTACTTTCAAATGTTTTATATTATATATTACTTTTATTTAAAACAAATATACTTAAAATACAAGTGAATATTTTCTTTTTCTTTTTTTTTAGGATTTTTTAAATTTATTTATGCATACAAGAACTGGGGTGTAGGCCAGAGGTGCAGGGAGAGGATTCACCAGAGTGGGGAGCAGAACAGGTGGATCTACTGAAATGCACTTTGAGGGGAGTAGCAGGAGAGACAGGAGAGGTCTGCTGTGCCATGTAGGTTTGCTCCCTAGAGGGAGACTGAACACGTACCACAGTGGCTAGCATAAGCTTTGATAGCACTAAGACTTTAACCCTGAGCCACCAGGGAAACCCACATGTGGATAGTTTCAATTTTTTTTTTCATTTTCTTTATTGAGGTGACATTGGTTTACAACACTGTATATGACTTAGGGGAACAGGTTCACATGTCCTCAGATGTATGTCACCACACCACCCTACCATCCAAGCACCCACAGTCCTTTACCATAAACCACTGGGTCCCCTCCCCTCTTTTGTCTCCATTTCCCCCAACCTCCCAAGAAGTCTCAATTCTGCTGGATAAAAAAAATTTTAATAGTTGTTTTGACAGGTTATTCTGAAGAGTAAAGTTCCCATGTAGGTATGGCCACACCAGATCAGGTAAACACCCTTCTTGCCAGCCAGATTCATGAAACCAGAGATACCATCTAATGAACCCCAGCAAGGTCTCAGAAGTGACCCACAGTGCATCAGTGAGCAGAGGTCCAAATGAGTTGGGATGCCCACACATCAGAGAAATCAAACATTCAGGCTGGGAAAAGGAAGGGCTTTAGTCCAGGAGGCCCATGTTAGATCTCTGAGTTGTAGCTAAAAGAAACACACTATATGAATTAAAGAGATGGTTCTGAAGAAGGTAACCAAAAACAGGGAGAGCTCCTAGAGATGAGAGAGAGAACAGACTGAGGGTCAGGGAGAAAACATTTTGTAGGAGAATTGTTTACCTAATAAGAAGGACTTGATCATAAACGAGACAAGCAGAAAAAAATAAAGACCAAAAGAAGTCATAAAAATATCAACAGCATGTTAGCATTTTTCCAACAAAATATTAAAAACTCTACAGTAAGAAAACAGCTTAACAAAAGGGTAAAGAGGGGCCTCCCTGGTGGTGCAAGGAGCTAAGCACAGCACTGTGAAGCTATCTGCAGCATAAGTTCAATCCCCAGCCAGCCAGGGAGCCACCCACATGGCGCAGCAGACCTTTCCTGTCTCGCCCACTGTTCCCCTCAGCAGTGTATTTCAGTCAGTCTGCTTGTTCTGCTCCCCACTCTGTCTCTGGTGAATCCTCTTACCCCCCAACACATAATGGCCTATACCCCCGTTCTTGTATGCATAAATAAATAAATATATTTTTTTTAAAGGTGTAAAGAGCGTAAGGAGCAAAATTTCTGGCCTCAGTTGTCTATTTTTTTTTTAAAGATTTATTTATTTATATATATAAGAACTGGGGTACAGGCCAGAAGTGTGGGGGGGGGTGAGAGGATTCACCAGAGACAGAGTGGGAAGCAGAAAAAACAGACTGACTGAAATACACTGCTGAGGGGAAAGGCAGGCGAGACAGGAGAGGACTGCTGCGCCATGTCGGTAGCTCCCTGGCTGGCTGGGGATCGAACTCATGCTGCAGAGGCAGCGGATAGCTTCACAGTGCTGTGCTTAACCCCTGTGCCACCAGGGAGGTCCTCAGGTGTCTATCTTTTAATGAAAAATAGAATGGCAAACACATCTAGAATTGGGCAAGGGACAACCTTGTTCAAAAGAGGTTAAAGAAATAAAAAAAGAGATGCACAAATCATATCACTGCAGAGATAAACTAACCTTCACCAGCTAGGGGACAAGAAAGGTTCAACCTCAAAAGAGAACCAAACTGACAATGGCAAGGCCCAGGAGGGATGGAAACTTTGTTAAGCTCAGTATAGCTGGAAGACTGCCAAAGGAGAAACACTTCCTCCCAGTGCTGACAATGTCACCGCTTAAAATAAAACAAAGCAACAAAGAAGGTCCCAAGATACATGCCCAACTGATGACAAAGGGCTAACTGCTGAGACAGCAGGGGACACATGTACTGGGGAATGAGGACTAGACAGACCTCACTAGGTGCTGACTAAAAGCTCAGTGGTGAGGGCATCATCTTGGATTGCCTAACAGAAAAGACACTGGTAGTAGGTGGTAGGACATAAAATGCAAGTCCTAAAGAAAGCAGACCTCTGAAAATCCAGAGAAAAAGTCCAATGCCAAGTAGCCAATACCAAAACCTCAGATTAGAATGACCAAAATACCTGGGAGATCCTAAATACAAAAACTCAAGAGTGTAAGATGTGGTCCCAAGGAAAAAGGAGGCAGCAAGGATTAAGTGAGCACAACTCGCCAAAGAACACATATGGAAAATGTAAAAAGGGGCAAATTACTAATGACAAACGTAATAGAGTAAGTGTAAGAAATATAGGAATCTGAAAGATCAACATCAAGCGATATGTGTAGAAAATGCTGATAATAGACTGTCAAGTGAAAAGGAAAAAAGCAGTATGACTACAAAAGGAAAAACAGGTTAAGTCCACAACTGGAAAAGATTAGAAGGAATTACACAAAATGCTGATAATGACTCAGGCTGGGTGATAGACTGTGGATAACTTTTCTTCTTACTCTCCAAATTTTCTTTGGTTAACATTAATTGTCTGTATAACAATTAATGAAAAGGTTACAGTCCAGAGTAAACAGATTCATTCAAAGTGCTGAGGCTTTTATTAAAAGTGTTTGGAGCGACACTGCATTGGAAAGATGATGCAAGTAAAAGGGCAGAATGGATGATCTATTTTGCTGTTCTACCAACTGACAGCCGACTAGAGAGTATTAAGAACTAGAACCCAAGATAAGTGACAGGAGCACAATAATTAATTTTAATAGATTTAAATCTTCTAGCTCAGACTAACACCCCAATGTACTGATTCGAACATTTAGCTACAATTTCAAAATTAGGTAGTAATCTTCAATTTTTGTAGATAATATATAAAGTCACCAAAAGGGAGCAAAGTACTCTAAGGCCTTGACAAGGGTTAATCCTGAAATTTTGTAAAAGAAGAAAAGAGAAAATCTCAAATAGATTCAAAAGATCATCATCTCTGAAGCTGGGGGGAAAAACACATTATCAGGCAGAATTTACAATCTATGATACAGATCATGTCATTTTAGGAAATGATGAGTTCACTTAGAAACTCAAAGAATACCAGAGATGTTCTATCTCAAGTTCATTAAGTTATGTAATCTAGTTTCTTGTGACAATAAAATGAAATATGGGCCTGATGATAGAATTAGACATAATTCATGCATCAATGCTACAGGGCATAAAACAGAATTATCCTGGGCCTCCCTGGTGGTGCAGCAGTTGAGCGCTGGGTTGCAAAGCTGCCCGCAGCCTCTGCAGCGCCGGTTCAATCCCCGACCGCCGGCAAGCGTCCCACATGGTGCGTAGACCTCTCCTTCCACCCGCTGCTCCCCTCAGCAGTGTATTTCATCAGTCTGATGTTCTGATCCCCACTCTGTCTCTGGTGAATTCTCTCAACCTCCCACGCTCCTGACTGTGCCCAGTGCTTGGATAAATAAATAAATAAATCTTAAAAAAAAAAAAACAGAATTATCCTGTTCAACATTTACCTACAACTGGAGAAAGATGCAGAAGTTGTACATACCAAAGTGAAGAGCACAGCTAAAATGTTGAAAGGTAGAGTTAAGGTGAAAATAAACTTAACAGATTACAATGGAGTCTTCAAATCAACAAAATGTAAAAGGGATAAATAAAAAGGTAATTTTTTTTTTAGTGCTTCAAATATAAAATCAAAAAGGCGATTTTGATATGTATAAGTTGTTCTAAGAGTCTTGCTATAACAAATTACTAGACAGCAACTTCTGTTCAACACGAAGTATTCAAAATCAAAATTGACTGCCTCATAAATAGTACTGATACCATCCGTTCAGGCAGAGGCTAAGAGACCATTCGGAACTTTGCCAAAAGGCCTGCAGCAATGGACAGACGGTTGATCCATCTAGATGACCTCGAATGTCTCTTCCAGCCAAAAGAACTTTGATCTTGGGGATAAGGAGACTGAAGCTGCCTGACACTTTATCACTCAAGAGTAACAATAACTCTGATGCGGAATGGCCTACTGCAGCATATCCCAGTGTCTCTGAATCCAGAAGAGAGGTAAGCAACCTAAGTTTCAGTCAGACTGGCTTTCAAATCCCAGTCATGTTACTTATCTAGCTGTGGGACTGTGACAAGTTTCTCAAGCTCTCAGGCATCTTAGTGAAACACAAATATACTTTCCCCTCACAGGATAGTTGAAAGGAAAAGTTAATGCATAGCAGAGTGACTGACCCATAGTAAGCATTTAACCAATAGTATCTGTTATTATTGTTATTAAGGAGAAGAACTCACTTGACACCCGGTATAGTTAGTTACAGGAGTCAAAATACTATTCCAAGATACCCCTTCCCCCAAAAGTTTGGGCATCATTGCTTGGAAGATGGAGAATACCATATAATGTTAGTAATAATGAACTTTACTTGGGTACTTACTATCTGCCAGACACCACTCTAAGAACTGTCACCTTTTATAAGAGCCTCCCAACCACCTGTGATCTATAAGAACTATGTGATCTGTCTTTCTAGATGAGGAAACCAAGATTTTAGAGGCTAAATAAATTGCTGAGGTTACAGAGCTAGAAAGCAACAGAGCTGGATTTAAATACAGGCAATCAGATGTTAGAATCCATCCTCTTGGGCCTCTCTGGTGGCCTACGGGCTAAGTCTCAGCCCTATCACTGCTACGGCCTGAGTTTGATCCCCGAGTTCGATCCCCAGCCAGGGAGCTAACCTATATATGTCTCGCCCGCTGTTCCCCTCAATGTATTTCAGTAGATCTGCCTGTTCTGCTCCCCCTCTTGTTTCTGGTGAATCCTCTCACCCTCCAAACCTACGGTCTACACCCCAGTTCTTGTATGCATAAATAAAAATAAATCTTAAAAAAAAGAACCGATCATCTCAACCACACCACCCCTTATCAATCCTGACTATATTTGAATTAAATGGGGAGATATTAAAAATAACTCTCCCTGGGACCTACTCCTGTTCCCATCATCAAACATTCTGATTTAAATTGATCTGGAATAGGGCCTCCCTGGTGGCGCAGATGCAGCATGAGTTTGATCCTCCAGCCGGCCAAGGAGCTACCCAAATGGCGCAGCAGACCTCTCCTGTCTCACCCGCTGCTATCCTCAGCAGTGTACTTCGGTCAGTTTGCCTGCTCTGTTCCCCACTCTGTCTCTGGTGAATCCTCTCACCCCCATACCTCTAGCCTGTACCCCAGTTCTTGTATGTATAAACAAATAAATCAATCTTTAAGAAAAAATAAATAAATAAACTGATCTGGAATAGGCAGGAAGGGTACCCAGAGTTCAGGAACACTGTCCTAGGCCAGGCTGCCTCCTGGATAAAAAAGAGGTTATAATGAGCAACTTGCCTCGGCTGATATTACCCAACCAAATCTACTGCTTTGTAGGAATAGCTTTTAGAACCACAAGATCAGGACTGCTTTCCCAGAAACCAACATTTTCAAATTCAAATTTAACCTCAAATGTAAACCTACTCAGGTTAAGTATCTCTGTTTTACAGAGAGGAGACTGAGACCTAAAAAGGCTCAACTTGCCCCATTCACAAAGGAACTGCCACTAGATTTGGTCAGGGGAGGGCGAAAAGGGGGGGTAAAGGGGTGGCCTGGCATCTTAATGAGCTCCAGAAGAGGTCAGAGAAATTTGAGTGGGCTGTCAGGGATGCTTCATGGAGAAAGCGGCATCTGAATTGCATGAAGTTTGAGACAAGGAAGGGCAAATCAGCAGAGCGCAACAAATGAGCAAGGTGAAGAGGCAAAATACTGCAAGGAATGTTCACAGGACTAGAAGGAAATAGGTGTGGTCAAACTATGGGGCTTTCAAGGGACAGTCGAGAGAAAGGCCTCAAAGGTCTGCTTGGGCCCAGGCTATGCAGGCACATAAATGCCAAGCTGCACAGCTGTCCCTGCCTCTGGCCTTCACACTTTTCCTGAAACAGAAATCCACTCAAACAGATGCCTGGAAACCCAGTCTGCTAAGGAAGCAAGGTCATATTTCCAACTCAAGTTCATGATACAGGAAAAAGAACAATGTCTAGAGTTGAGTTCTGAACCCAAGCTACTCTGTCTACCAGGAAGACTTAGGAATGTCACAACATATAAGGCAATAGAGCAAAGCAGTTAAGGGCAAGGTTTTAGAGTCAGATAAACCTGGCTTTGAATCCACTTTCACTAGCTGCATAACCCTAGGCAATGTACAGACCGCCTTTGAACCTCCTTTATAAAACAGGGTAAAAATACATTGTACGAAATGAATAAGAAATGAGCATGTAATGTGTCAATTAACACACTGTCTAATAAGGAAGCAAATACCCAGTAAACAGTAGCTATTCTTATATTTGTCCAACATTTTCTATTATCAACTATGCAAGTCTCGAGAAATTAAGGCAGCAGAGGGCAAATACCCAAATTTTCAAATATGAGAGACCTCTTTTGCATTCATCAATTTATGTTAGAGTAGAACAATAAATGTGGCTGTGAACTCACTAAAACACATAATACTAATTTTCCCTTTTAATTATAAATTACTTGGAAGACTGGGGCACATGACTATATACAATTAGGATGAACTCTAGGAAACAAAATACCCTAACAAAACACAAAACTAAAATAAAACCACAAACCTGTATTAACAAAGGTATTAGCAGTTTCCACCCACCACTCCTGACATTGCTCTGACTCTCCTAAAAGGTTTCATGGGCCTCCCTGGTGGCGCAAGGGGTTAAGCACCTCACTATAAAGCAATCCACAGCCTCTGCAGCACGAGTTCGATTCCCGGCCGGCCAGAGAGAAACCCACATGGCGCAGCAGACCTTTCCTGTCTCGCCCACTGCTCCCCTGAGCAGTGTATTTCAGTCAGTCGGCCTGTTCTGTTCCCCACTCTGTCTCTAGTGAATCCTCACACCCCCACATCTCTGGCCTCTACCCCAGTTCTTATATGCATAAATAAATAAATCTTAAAAAAAAAAAAAGCAACTCAGGGTCACTTAACCTGAGTAGGCTTACATTTGATGATAAATTTGAATTTGATAATGTTTGTTTCTGGGAAAGCAGTCCTGATCTTGTGGTTCTAAAAGCTATTCCTGGGTCTCGCCAGTGGCACAGCAGTTGAGCGCTGGGTTGTGAAGCTTCCCGCAGCCTCTGCAGCGCTGGTTTGATCCCCAGCTGCTCCCCGGCCACAGGAGGAGGGTCCCACATGGCGCGCAGACCTCTCCTGCCGCCCGCTGCTCCCCTCAGCAGTGAACTTTGGTCCCTCTGCCTGCTCTGCTCCCCGCTCTGGCTCTGGTGAATTCTCTCACCCTCCCGCATTTCTGACTGTACCCAGTGCTTGTATAAATAAATAAATAAATCTTTAAAAAAAAAAAAAAAAAAAAACTATTCCTACCAAAAAACATTCCCACTACATTTAAAGGCAAAGAAAAGCTAACACATCTATGCCAAAAGTAGAAAATGAGTAAGAGTCGTAGAAGCATGTTCTAATCTCAGCTCTGCCACTAACTGGATGACTTTCTCTGGGCTTCCTCAGACAAGATAATCTGTTTTTTTCCAACTCTAATATCTGACACATAGCTAATAGCCACTCAATGTTTAATAGGTCACCTCAGAAATGGAGAATTCACAAGTCTCTTCTTTTGAGAATATTTGGATGCAGTCTGGACATGCAAGACAAGGTCAACAGCACAACATCCTGCGGGGGAGAAAACCATTCTCGATGGAAATGTGGAAAATTCCCCCAAAATACCCTGTACCTTTTTTCATCATGTCCCGGTCCAAAGCTACATTTCTTTGGGCGAGATTTACTTCAGATCGAAAATGGAAGCGCTTGGCTCGCTGTTCTTTCTTTTCAATGGCTTCCTAGAATGTAGAGAAAAAGTCAAAGAAGTGAAAAACAGGAAAATTAAATCACAAACACAACATGATGCATCAGAAACAACCCTAAAATAAACCAGAAAAAATGAGCAATATTGTGCATTTAATGTTTTCAGAGAATTAGATATTCAGTCAATGACTGGAAGGGTGTACACTGACAACACTATAACTTGTAACAATCTCCATGATGATTCAATGCCTGTCACTGTGCTGGGGGTTTTATGGGAATTCAATGCATATTTATTTGTTGATTCAATGAGGAATAACACTTTAGTTCCCTGACACTTTATTTATTATTACCAATCATGTAAACAAATCAGAACCAAACAATCTCAACATCCCAATTTTCTTGGTGGAGAAATTGAGACACAAAAAAACTTAGAAGGTTTACTGGAGGTACTTCCCTTAGTAAGAGGGGCAGATGTTCTGATTTCAGTGCTATTTCCAGAAGCCCCACCACCACCCCCATTTGACATCGCTTGTGTGCAGGGTAATCACACCTATCACATTCTTCCACATTATGTTTGCCTGAGCAGTCCACTCCCTAAAGCTCTTTCCTGGTTTAAAAATAACATTGAAAGAAAGAAACTCTCTCCTCTATTCTAGGCTTGTGTCCATGGAATTGCCAGTTTTCATCGTTAAATGACAAGAAGCATTGACGCTTCCCTGAAAAAATAATCAGCTTCATAAGTTCTTTTTCCAAGAGCTAAAATAAATCCAGGTCCAACTGTGGGTTTCTGATGGCTCTTAGAACCCTTTGCTAATTGTATATTGACTTTAACACACTAATTGAAGGTCTGACTATAGAAAGCTTATGGGGATTGGTAAAGCAGCAACACTTCTGTTATTTCCCAATAGTTATGCTAATTTTCTTCACTGAAGTCTTCCCAGTAAAAATATCGAATCTGCCTTCCTTTAGTAACCTGAGTACCAATTCTGGTATATATTTGCTTCCTTTCCCCCATATATTTGTTCCACATTATGACAAAAAGTGTAGAATCAAGAATAGTACACAGGGGCCTCCCCTGGTGGCGCAGCAGTTGAGCACTGGGCTGCGTAGCTGCCCCGCAGCCTCTGCAACACCGGTTAGATCCCTGGCCACCGGCCACATGGCGCGCAGACCTCTCCTGCCACCCGCTGCTCCCCTCAGCAGTGTACTTCGGCCCTTCTGCCTGTTCTGCTCCCTGCTCTGGCTCTGGTGAATTCTCTCACCCTCCCGCGCTTCTGACTGTACCCAGTGCTTGTATAAATAAATAAATAAATCGTTTAAAAAAAAAAAAAAAAAGAATAGTACACAGGCTTAACCCTTTAAGTACAGTATAATTCTCAATTACAATAGGAAAACATGTTCACTTATTCTATTTGTTACCTGTCTAAAAGCTGGTAAGTTCTTTTGTACTTTAAGTAATCTAAGACAGATTGATACCCAGACCTTAAAAAGCATAACATTTTTATTTTTGCTTTCATATATCCAATATAACAATACAGTACTACTATTCTTTTTTTTTTTTTTTTTTGGCTCTAGTTATTTATTTTCTTACAATGTTGTTCATTTTTGTACAGTAATTGGTTTCTTCCCTCAGGTATAGTTCCCAACATTATTCACATTTGTAATTCAAAATTCTGTTCCAAACCTAATCACACATTAAAATCAGAAAGAATGTCCAAACTGGATGTCGCCAATTAAAGCAACAAATATGTACTGATTGTTTATAATAAGGAAAATAATAGGTTTGACTATGTAAGGAATTACAACTAAGTTGTTAATCTAGTAATAGTGATCCCCAGATAAAAGGCAATATTCCCAGGTATTGAGAATAATTCAGCTTTGGTCTTCAAAGTTTAGATATCCACACAATCTGGAATTTTATTCTTCTAAGTCTGCAGTCAGTAAGTAATAAAGTTTTTTACTACATGCCACTTTTCATGTTTTATTTCATTTAAAGTGGAAACAAAAGGAATAAAGTGGAAACAGTACACCTATTTTTAAATAATGAACATAAATTAAAAAAAGCATTCCTAGTGCAGAGTCTTTTCTTAGATATGGTTAAGCACAGATATCTAGACAGCGATTTTTGTGGTTTTACAGATTTGAGAACACACAAATACTGCTAGGATATTTTTAGGTGCAAGAAGGTATCACTGTGTAATACAAAATCGAAATTAAAAATATATTTTAATCCAATTAAAAATTTTTAAATTAAAAGATTCCTCTTAAACAAAAGAAAAAAAGGCAAAGGATTGCTGCAGTTCACCTGCCTATCAAAGTGAATAAATAAATCATGGTGTTACCTTGGAGGTGACATCAATTCCGGTGATGAAACTGCCAGCCTTGTTTTCATATCTTCTGCTTGTATCCTAACATGAAGGGATAGAGTAAGAAATGCTAACAGCAGTTAAGGAAAACCCATGATAAAAAACTGCTCAACAACTGATTCCTTCCGGATAGTCATTCTTTTCAGTATCCTTCCCCCATCCTGACATATTATTATGCAGAAGCCCATTCTGCATATTATTATGCAGAAGCACATTCCTGTGCCTCTGTGGTAGTAATCAACCATACAAGAAATATTTCTAGATCAGAGCCTGTTCAAAACCATAGAAAATTCCATCTACTCAAGTTATCCATGTAAATGAAAATCTAAAGGCTTTTGTGAAAACTGTCCAAGATGAGGTACAGTCATTATCTCCCCAACCCAGACTGGACACCAAGCCAAGCCACCAGGTGGAGCACAAATCTTCACCAAAATGCAGAAAGTCTCGACTCATCAAGATCTCCTGGGGAAAACACAGCACAGTGTAATGAAAAGAAGATGCTATTTACAAACTGAGCACTCAAGCCACAGCTCCGACATTCACTAATTACATGACACCACACAATTCCTTTGGCTTCTCCGCACCTACGTTTTTTCCATGTTTTCTGGCAACCTTCCTGGCCTCTTTTACTGTTCTCCCATTTGTGCTATATAACCTTCCCATACTCCAACAAAACGTGCTTGTTCCCAGATCAGAACCTTTGTACTTGCTGTGCCCCTGCAAGGAACACACTTTCTTCCAAATCTGCACAAGGTTGGTCCCTTTTTTATCATTTAGGTTTAAATGTCACTATTTCAGACGACTAACCCGACCAATCTATCATGTTCTGCTTCCCCCTCTGCCTATCCTCCCTGCCCTCTGCACTTTACGCAACTCACTTCAATTTTTGTGTATGTAAAATCGACCAATGATTGGGAGACTTGAAAGAGACAAAAGCAAGACTTGCTAACATGCACTGAAAAAGTAGTTCAGGTGAGGTGAGAAATGAAGTTCAGCAAAGACCCATCGAGGCCTGAGCCCGGCCCTAAAAGCCGGACAAGTAGCCACCAAACCACAAGCCAAGACACCTCTCACCATCTCTGCTATGATAAAAGACCGAGACCAAACACCACTGCTGGTTCGCTGATATTTTGGTTTCCTTAAGAGATGCTGGGGCCACGGTGTAGGTGCTACCCACATCAGCAGGGGTGCGCGGGCCCAAAGCGACCCTCAAGTCACAACAAAAACACTGAGTTTCTCCTGCTGACAAGTGCAGAGCGATGCTCACCAGACACCAGCAGGACGCGGCTCCGCCAGAGCAGGACGCCCTAGGGGACCTGGATGCCGGCGCCACCCGACAGTTCTTTCTGGGCCGATCCCGGTTAGGTTCCCGCCCGGGGCTCTCCCTTTATTTCAAGTACCCAGAAAATTCCTCCCCCTCCTCAGCAATCCCCTTGCACAGACTGGTTCGGAAAGGCATGAAAGGGGGTGTCCTCAACTACTCCTCCATCTCACCCCACCTCCCCCAGCCCATTTCCGGGCTCCCCAGCGTCCTTTCTCGCGTTCCCGGTCCCCCCTCAAGCCCGGCGCCCCCGCCCCTCGGGCGCCCGCTCCCCACTCCGCCCCCGCGCAGACTCCCCGACCCCGGCGCCGGCCGCCTCCCCTTCCGGCCCGCCGCGAAGCCCAGCGCCCGCTCCGCGACCTCCTCCTCGCCCCCCGCCCCCCGCCGTACCGGGAGCAGTTCCTTCAGCGAGCGCCGAACCGGCACAATCTCCAGCTCGCCCTCCTCCACCTCCATGGGCTCCGGCTCGCCACGCTCCAAACTGGATTCCGCCTCAGGCGACGGGAGCCCCAGAGCCGGCCCCGCCGGGGCCTCCGCCTTCACCGACACTCGCAGGCCCCGTACGGCCGCCATCGCCGCCCGCCGGCCGGACCACTGAGAGCCCGCCCCGCACATCCACGGCTAGAGCGCCGCCGCCACCGGCCACAGAACAGCCGCAGACGCCAGCTAGAGCGTCTCCTGCTTGCGCTGGAACGCCGTCCTCGGCGCGGCCGTCCCCTAGTGGCCGGAGGACTGCAGGAGCCGGATTGAGTGCGGGCGCGAATGGGGCCTGCCGAGGGGCGGGGCCTGGAAGAGATGGGCGTCGTCTGAGGTTAGAAAATAGCTACGCCTTGAGTAGTAAACCTGTAGTAAAAGCTAACTTTACTGAGTGATGACTCTATAGCAGTCACTGTCTTAAGTGCTCGAATCCTTACAAAGCTATGAAGTAGGTGTTACCATTTACCCCTATTTCACCTGTGAGGAGACTGAGACAGAAATGTATCCTAGGTGACAGGTTGGTTAAGAGATCACACCTGGATCCCAGGCGAGCCAGTCTGGTTCCAGAGCCCAGAGCTCTGGACCCTGTACGTTTTCAAAAGACAACTTTTGTCTCTTTCAAGTCTGCCACTTATTGGCCCAGGGGACCATCATACACAAAATTACATACACAAAAAATTGAGATTTTTAAGAAGGTTGTGAGCTGCCCAAAGGCTAGACTTCAACCCCAATTTTCTGACTCCTGAGAACTCCGTCCTGCATGGACCTCTGAGCATGGTTATTTGCAGACATTTCTAACAGAAGCCTGATGGGGGACAGGGAGTGTCCCCCACCAGGCTTCCAGAGGGTATCTGTCGTTACTCAGGTTTTGCATTGGGTCCTGATTTTGCATTTTCTTCCCTGTGTCACCTCTGTCTTTCCATCTAAGGAGGGAATAGGTGGAATGGAATCCCAAGGTCCTACCAGCTGTTGATCATGGAGGAACAAATAATTATAAACCAAGGGACAGCATCACCAGCATCAGACACATCCGGGTTTCAAGCTGACAAGCTTGTATAACCTTAGGCAAGCCACTTACCCCTTAGGAATTTTTAGGGTAAGGAAAAATGTCAGGCTTTTCTGCCCTCCCGCCATCAGGATAGATGATGGATCCTTGCAGTCCTGAATGCATGCCTGATGGCGGGCACCTGGAATAGGGTGTGGGCATAAGTAGATGGGATTCACCTGGGCTAAGACTGCGCTTTTAAGGGCAGCATCACGGGGATGCCAATAGAAGCCGAAGGAGAAGCCGAGAGAGAAGCAAGAGAAGCAGAAGCTGAGAGAAGGCCAGAGATCCCAGAGTGAAGACCTGCTGGAGGCTGGGAGGACTGCCAGCCTCCCGGCCCCCCAGCACCCCTGCCTGCCATATGCCTGGTGAACCCCAATAAAAAATCTGCAAAACCACTAAGGACTCTGACTCCTCCTTTACCCGGTCTGCATGGGATCAGAAAACCTGCACTGTGCCCATTCCTGACCCTACAGAATCTCAGTTTCTTCACCAGTAAAATAGGGCTTTATTCACCCCAAAAGAGGTTGTGAGGGTTAAATGACATAAATATATGCAGATATAGAATCCAACAGAAGAGTATGTTACAGTTTTTCTTAAATGTGGGCTAAATCACAGGACAAACACAAGATAGCACTCTAAAAAGACCAATTTTATATGACAAGAGATATGTAGTTACAAAAAGGGTTGAAGGTATGAAATGTCTTTGCAGGAATGTTTAAGAACATTTCAAAGAAATCGGTTTTGGGTGATAGTCTCAGATCCCACAATTACACCCGTTTCCTAGGCTTGGGGGTGAGGGCTAGCGGCCAGGTGGAAGTTTTAGGGGGAAGTGATGTCCTGAGTTAATCCCATACAGGATTAACTTTGTGGACTCCACCCCCACTCCAGACTAAAGCCATCAAGACTCTGGGAAAGACAAATCCCATCACCACCAAGGGAGGGTGGCTGGGACCTGAGGGTGGAGTTGGGCAGCCAGGTTGGATATAAAAAACCAAACACGTGGGCCTTGGGCTCTCTGGCTCGCGATCGCTCCCCTCCTGGCTTCACCTCTCCTGGCTGGCGGCCAGCTCTCAGAGCGCCATTTTGGGATTCCTGATCGGCGGATCGTGTAGGACTCATTTAAAACTTTGTCTCCCACTTTTCTCCCAGAGCTGTACATTTCCTCATTTCCCCTTCCCTTTGTAAATAAACCTTTTATTAACCTTTCACGTGTGCCTGCAGTAGAGCATTGATAAGTCCTTTTAAGCGCGCGGGTGAGGACCCACAGTCAGGCACCCCGTTTTGTATCGGGGTTGCTCTACAACAGAAGGAGGTTTGGGGAGGGGAGAAAGCAATCCCTCCTTCTCAGCTATGGACACCAGGAGGCCCCCATGGGAGGCCGGGCAGGCCCCTCTACAGGTGAGGAGACTTGTTGCTTGAGAACTCAGACATTGCAGATCAGTGTTGTTCAAAGGATCACCTTCCTGAGGGAGCTCTCGTTAGCAGGAGAGTTCAGGATCCAGAGAAGCCAAGGGCATCAGGCAGTCAAATGACAGGTTTCGTTGACTCTTATCAGGAAAGTTCTTCTTACTGTCCTTTTTTGGTAACCAAACTCACCCCTATCTGCCCCCTTTCCTGTCCTCAGTACAGTGTGTGAGGGTGGGACCACAGAATTAGTAGTGGTAACAATTAATTTTCTAAAAAGTTTGAAAAACATGACCCTCAAACACAAAATGAACACACATCAAAGCTTTTATTCATTCAGCAATGTGTGAAGTTCTCAATAAGATATTAAAACTAGTTTAAAAGAGTATGTGAGAATAAATACAGAGTTAGTGCAGCAAAGAAATACTGAAATTGTTGTAGAGCAACCCCGATACAAAACGGGTTGCCTGACTGCGGGTCCTCACCCGCGCGCTTAAAAGGACTTATCAATGCTCTACTGCAGGCACACGTGAAAGGTTAATAAAAGGTTTATTTAGAGCCTCCCCGGTGGTGCAGCGGTAGAGCCCTGGGTTGCGAAGCTGCCCGCGGCCTCTGCGGCGCTGGTTCAATCCCCGGCTGCTCCCCGGCCACCGGAGGAGGGTCCCACATGGCGCGCAGACCTCTCCTGCCGCCCGCTGCTCCCCTCAGCAGTGTACTTCGGTCCTTCTACCTGCTCTACTCCCTGCTCTGGCTCTGGTGAATTCTCTCACCCTCCTGCGCTTCTGACTGTACCCAGTGCTTGTATAAACAAAAAATAAATAAATAAATAAATAAATAAAACATGCCTCTATTTAAAAAAAAAAAAAAGGTTTATTTACAAGGGAAGGGGAAATGAGGAAATGTACAGCTCTGGGAGAAAAGTGGGAGACAAAGTTTTAAATGAGTCCTACCCAATCCGCCGATCAGGAATCCCAAAATGGCGCTCTCAGAGTTGGCCGCCAGCCAGGAGCTGTGAAGCCAGGAGGCGAGCGATTGCGAGCCAGAGAGAGCCCAAGGCCCACGTGTTTGGTTTTTTATATTTAACCTGGCTGCCCAACTCCACCCTCAGGTCCCAGCCACCCTCCCTTGGTGGTGATGGGATTTGTCTTTCCCAGAGTCTTGATGGCTTTAGTCTGGAGTGGGGGTGGGGTCCACAAAGCCTGTATGGGATTAACTCAGGACATTATTTTCCCCTAACAAAATGACAACAACACAGGTTAAAATGCCCTACAGGGCAAGAAGCTGTAATCTTTGGATTTCCCTTTTCTACCAGGTAGAAAACATTTGCATTGCTATTGGAAAAGCATTATTATATGATTAAAAATTTCCTATATATTAACCTCTACCCTTACAGAATTGTAAAATATCCCAATTCATTAGTAAATCAGAAGTCAAACAAAGGTAGAGAATCAGATGATCAGCAGGCAGAATAGACCTGTTGGGTAACACCTGGCACTACACTGAAAGGACACCAGTAGTTCTTTTCCCTGTTCCCTTTTCCAGTCTCCAAAGTCTGAAGAATATTTTATTAACGAAGGAAACCAGGGCAGTGGGTTTCCCTGGTGGCACAGGGGTTAAAGTCAACACTATCAAGCTATCGCCAGCCACTGCAGCATGAGTTCTACCCCCGGCCAGGGAGCTGACCCACATGATACAGCAGACCTCTCGTGTCTCGCCCCCTGCTCCCCTCAGCAGTGTATTTCAGTAATCTGCCTGTTCTGCACCCCATTCTGTGTCTGGTGAATCCCAGAAACCTCTGGCCTACACCCTAGCTCTTGCATGCATAAATAAATGTAAATAAATCTTCTTAAAAAGAAAAGAAAAGAAACCAGGACAGTGGATATTGGGACAGTCTGGAGAGAGTTTCGTGAAGGGAGTGGTACCATGGCAAATGCAGCCACAGCTTCACAGTGGCACTTGGCTTGAGTCTAGAGAGCTGTTGGTCATTGGTGACTTTGAAGAGACAAAGGTCATGAAGGCAAGGCAGATTACTGGCGGGGATTTGAGGAAGTGTAGACAACTCTTGAGACGTTTGTGAAGATAGCATGAATAGATAACATGAATAGCCCTATTTTTGAATTTGTAAAGGGGATTGGCTAATCTGGAGACCAGGACGGTACTAATTGGACCTTCTAAAAGATTATTTTTTCTTTAATTGAAATCCGTCACTCCCTCTCTTGTCTACCACCCTCTCCCATCCAGGGAGGAGGAAGAATAAAAAGAATGGAATCTTATCTCTCCTGGGGTAACAAAGGGAAAAGCTATTAAAAGGTAATAGGAGCTTGTGAAGTGAAATCAAATGCTACTTGAGAACTGACAGCATGGTCCACTGCCTGAGGTGATGTCCTTCAATACAATTTTAAATTGGGCACAAACCCACTCCCCACACCCCCTATTTCATGTACATCCTTGGAACATGGACAGGTTGATAGTCAAGAAAAGGTCATGAGCAGCTGACCTTCGTGGAAGAACCAAATCCATACCGTCCCCCTTACACAGCTAAATTCTGGAAAAGACGCTTTTCCCTCACTCTCTTCACCCAAATTGCATAATGAACATTGAGGGCAACTCCCTAGTTCTTGAAACCACACACACTATTCCATTGTCA